TGCTAAGGCATCCTACATTCATGAAAGTGACAGTTCCATTTTGGTTTTACTGCAAACTCGTATGATCAAATTCGGAAAAGTATCCGGATAAGCTGGACAAATTGTTTACACTACAAAACATTTCGAATTTACAAGGCATCGGCAGGGATTCACTTAGATATTTTCCTTTTCGTTCTTTTCGAAAAATCTTTTCCCCCAACCCCTAGCCCCTTTCACTGGCGGTCAATAAATACCCCGCGGTTTTTATTTTTTACCCCGCGCGCTCGACGGACTTCTAAAAGAAAATAGAGGGCCTGTGGAGAGCTAGCCCTGCATCTGCTTAAAAACGACGAAACGAACCCAGTATCAAAAAATAAAGTAATGAATCCGGAAAAGTATCTAGCCTTATTGCATGATAGTAGCCTGTGTACAGACTCCCCCTGTCCACAGGCTATATGATAGAAGATTGACGTGCATCAGTCAATGCACCCAAACACCCGACAAAGTATTTCATAAGCTGCTAATGTCATTTCATATGCAGAAAAAAACTCTAGGCTTAGAATGTAACCAAATCTTGAATCAAGGACGGTTTTTGGGGGGGAGGGAGGGGGAGGGGGCTGGGGTGCAAAGTGATTTGGAGAATTGTGCGTACCTCTGAAAAAATCCTGGCTACGCCCCTGATTTATTGTGATAATTCTGCTAAAAGGTAGTTATTAACGCCAGTAAAGAGAGAAGAAGGGCCCACATTGCATTTTTATTATTTTTACCCGCCATCACTAATTCCCTCTCTACTTGGTAGCCACAAAATTTCCCCATGTAAACCCAGTGAAAAGTTGTTCCACCCTCTGGGATCTTCCCGGTGCTAGGATCTTCCTGGCTCCATATAAACAGCCCCTTAGTGTTGTGGAATACTGAGAGAGTGGAGAGTGAACAACAAAAGGAATATAGAAGGAAGGAAAGGTTGAATGAAAAGGAAAGAACTGATTTCACCGAAATCCTGGATGAATTAAAGGTTGAGTAAAGCAAAATGCTTACAATGATAAACCCTGTTCTTTTCGTCAACATCCTCTTGAGTAACGTCACCCAAATCTCGACCATGATTGTCGCTGTATGGTACAGCAAATTTCACCAGCCCACCAGGGTGTTCCACTACTTCATCTGTCATTAAAATTCTTGCTTTTGATCGAAAGCTTGTACAGTCCTGGTCACGTGGATTAATCTTTTCCAAGAATACTTCGCATCCAGCTAGCTTTATCTGTGAATAGAGAAGCATAAATAACTTATTTATTACTCCCTGCTACAAATCGATACAAATGTCATAGTTATAAGCAGCATTTGAATTTTTCTCTGCTTTTAAATGCTGCAATTTAACCCCAAAAAAACCAGTTGGCATTAGGGTTGTGATGCTGTTCTAAATATCAAACATGGAGGTACTAGGACTAAGACAGCCTTTACCTTGGTACAAGTTTTACATTGATAGAGTACTATTCCATCTGGCATATCAAGTCATTTTACTCACGAAGTATGCAGGGTTTTACGATCAGCTTTTGTACTCAATGACAGTAAAAGTACAAGTTAAGTACGCTTGTATAAATTCAAGGTCCAGCATCTTATAACTCATTTGCAAGATAGTTCGGCTAGCAACAGTCATAAGTCATTACGAGCCGCAAGGTCGATTTTCGTGCACGCACCAGGGATCCTTAATTTCCATGGAGATACCCACAAACTGGACTCAAGTAACTACAAGGCGTTAGTCTTGACACATTTCCTTGCGTACCTCAGGTGTTCACATTAATCGCTTTCTGTCAGTTCATCTGTCAATAAACTCATTTTAGGACAGGACACAAATTTGCGTCAAATATCAGAGCTTGTTTTCTGCGCGCCGAATTTATACCATCGGAGCGAGATATTTTAACTCAGCTATGGTTCTCGTCAAAATCACTTAATGAAAATACTTAAATTCATGGTTGGTGTTAAAAAAGGGTCTTGGTGCAAGTCTTGGAAAAAAAAGAAATATTTTTTTCGTTTCTTAAGCGAAAGGCAAAATCTAGCGCTTTATGAAGGTCGAATTCGAACCCTCCAAAGTAATAATTATTCGGTACGTTACCTGGTAAGTTACATATTATCGCCGAAATGGTTTCAAAAGTTCAACGTGAAGAGTTCTGGATGTTATTTCGCATTATGTCCGAAGGACAGAAACTGTGTTCGCCGATATAAGGTAAGAGAGACCTTTATTATTTAAAAGGTAGAGGAGCAGCTTGTTATGGCTCTCGCATGCGGAGTTCGAGCACATCGGTGAAGCCGGTTTGACGACACTGAGGAAAACAGAGGAAAATATTTACTTGCCTTTGGTATTGTGTATATCCTCGATCACTATACAATAACGCACAAATATTATAATTCAAAGGGCATTTACAACACGCGCCAAAAGAGCCGTGATCCCGCCAAAATGCTCGAACCATCTAACAGAGTGTAAAAAGGGGCTGGTAGGCAACACATGACTTTTTACCTCGTGCCAAAATGCTGCTTGTTCCAAAAATTGTTTTCTCTGGTGGGTATGTTATATTCTGGGTTCTACTCTTTGAATGAGTAAATGTGAATTTTGCCGCTTGTTTCATACTGAGAGGTCATGACACGCATATTGATTTTCTGCGGTTATTGTTTCTGGTCGGCATGGTTTGTCCTCTGATGCAAGAGCACTTTCTTCGACCTCTTTTAAAACGTAAATCTCTTCCTTTGCGGCTAAATAAGAGTTTTAGGTTGTTTAGTCTTCTCCAAAGTGCTTCCTGGATCTGAATAGCTAAAGGCGATATTCTTTTGTCCGTGAATGTGATGGTTTCCTTCGATTTATGTCACGCTGGGCCCAGCTCGTTTAGTATTTTCTGCACGATGTTAGATTTTCACCGAAAGTGATTTACAGATTCAAATTTCGAGGAATGGATTATAGGAACGCATTTTGTAAAGAGAGATTTTGTAAGTAAAGAGAACTCGGATCCTTAAATCGATCGTGTTTTAGCTAGCCAATTGCAATTTTGATATCCTGTGTTAGTTCGGATAATTCAGTAGGCTATTCTCTCCTCTCCCTCTTAGCTTACAGGCGGCGCGCCCAAGTTTAAGAGGTGAAGAGAGATTTTTTTCAAGGGTAAAAAACTCGTAGCTTGAATCGATCATGTTTTACTATCTAGCCAATTGCAGTTTTTATGAGCTATGTTAGTTTGGATAATTCAGTACATTTTTCTCTCCTCTCCCTCTTAGCTTATACAGGCGGCGCGCCCAAGTTTAAGAGGTGAAGAGAGATTTTTAAAGGGGGAAAAACTCGTAGATTGAATCGTCATGTTTTAACTAGCTAACCAATTACAGTTTTCATGCGCTGTGTTAGTTTAGATAATTCAGTAAATTTTTCTCTCCTCTCCCTCTTAGCTTACAGGCGGCGCGCCCAAGTTTAAGAGGTGAAGAGAGATTTTTTTCAAGGGTAAAAAACTCGTAGCTTGAATCGATCATGTTTTACTATCTAGCCAATTACAGTTTTTATGAGCTATGTTAGTTTGGATAATTCAGTAAATTTTTCTCTTCTCTCCCTCTTAGCTTACAGGCGGCACGCCCAAGTTTAAGAGGTGACGAGAGACTTTTTTCAAGGGCAAAAAGCTCGTAGCCTGAATAGCCCATGTTTTACTAGCTAGCCAATTGCAGTTTTCTTACGCTGCGTTAGTTTGGTTACTCTCTCCTCTCCCTCTTGGCTTCCAGGCGGCACGCCCAAGATTAAGAGGTGAAGAGAGATTTATTTAAATTGAAACACTCGTAGCTTTGGTCGATCATGTTTTATTAGCTAGCCTATTGCAGTTTCTATACGCTGTGTTTGTTTGGATAATTCAGTAGGTCATTCTCTCCTCTCCCTCTTAGCTTACAGGCGACGCGCCCAAGTTTAAGAGGTGAAGAGAGATTTTTTTCAAGAGTAAAAAACTCGTAGCTTGAATCGATCATGTTTTACTACCTAGCCAATTGCAGTTTTCATGCGCTATGTTAGTTTGGATAATTCAGTGGATTATTCTCTCCTCTCCCTCTTGGCTTACAGGCGGCGCGCCCAAGTTTAAGAGGTGAAGAGAGATTTTTTTCAAGGGTAAAAAACTCGTAGCTTGAATCGATCATGTTTTACTATCTAGCCAATTGCAGTTTTCATGAGCTATGTTAGTTTGGATAATTCAGTAAATTTTTCTCTCCTCTCCCTCTTAGCTTACAGGCGGCGCGCCCAAGTTTAAGAGGTGACGAGAGATTTTTTTCAAGGGCAAAAAGCTCGTAGCTTGAATAGACCATGTTTTACTAGCTAGCCAATTGCAGGTTTCTTACGCTGCGTTAGTTTGGTTACTCTCTCCTCTCCCTCTTGGCTTCCAGGCGGCACGCCCAAGTTTAAGAGGTGAAGAGACAAATATTTAAATTGAAACACTCGTAGCTTGAGTCGATCATGTTTTACTGGCTAGCCTATTGCGGTTTTTATACGCTGTGTTAGTTCGGATAATTCAGTAGGTTATTCTCTCCTCTCCCTCTTAGCTTACAGGCGGCGCGCCCAAGTTTAAGAGGTGAAGAGAGATTTTTTTCAAGGGTAAAAGACTTGTAGCTTGAATCGATCATGTTTTACTACCTAGCCAATTGCAGTTTTCATGCGCTATGTTAGTTTGGATAATTCAGTGGATTATTCTCCCCTCTCCCTCTTGGCTTACAGGCGGCACGCCCAAGTTTAAGAGGTGAAGAGAGATTTTTTAAGGTAAAAAACTCGTAGATTGAATCGTCATGTTTTAGCTAGCTAGCCAATTGCAGTTTTCATGCGTTGTTAGTTTGGATAATTCAGTACATTTTTCTCTCCTCTCCCTCTTAGCTTACAGGCGGCGCGCCCAAGTTTAAGAGGTGACGAGAGATTTTTTTCAACGGTAAAAAACTCGTAGCCTGAATAGACCATGTTGTACTAGCTAGCCAATTGCAGTTTTCATACGCTGTGTTAGTTTGGTTACTCTTTCCTCTCCCCCTTAGCTTCCAGGCGGCGCGCCCAAGTTTAAGAGGTGAAGAGAGATTTTTTTAGATTGAAACATTCGTAGTTTGAGTCGATCATGTTTTACTACCTAGCCGATTGCAGTTTTTATACGCTGTGTTAGTTTGGTAAATCAGTAGATTATTCTCTCCTCTCCCTTTTGGCTTACAGGCGGCGCGCCCAAGTTTAAGAGGTGAAGGGAGATTTTCTTAAAGTGAATAGTACATAGCTAAAATCCATCGTGTTTTAGCTAGTAAATGCAGCTTTTTTTACATTGCTTTAGTTTGTATAATTCGGTAGATTTTTCTCTCCTCTTCCTAATGGCTTACAGGCAGCGCGCCCATTCTTAAGAAGCTGTGATAAAGTATAAAGTAAGTCACAGCTTGAATCGATCGTGTTTTAGCTAGTGGTTAGAGAGTTGTTGTTTTTGTTCATATTTTGTTTTTGTTAGTGTATATAATTCAGTAGATTTTTATTTTCTCTCCCTCTTAAGTCTTTAGTTCTTATGCGAGGCGCCCAATCTTACGACGAGTGGTGTTGGTTTCAAAAGCGAAATTTAGTCATTGTGATTTTTTTTCTGATCTACGGCTCTCAGTCTGGATAATATTCAGCGTGATGCCTGTGTTTGATGTACACCGGAAACCGGAGAAAAGCTAGTTTTGTCCGCGGGCGGCAATACTTTAATTTCGACAGTTTAAGGTAAAATATTAAGATAATGTCTAAATCATTTGTGAACTGTAATAGTTTTTTTTTGCGTAAATATCTCTCTTCGATCAATGTGACAATTAGGCCAGATTTATACTAGGGTTGTAAAAATTTCCTCCGTCTATGTTGAAACCGAACAAACCTCGCGTGTATCCGCTTTGGCGGGTGATCTCCCTGAGAGATAATTGAGTTGTTGTTTTCATTGTTTATTCATCAAGTTCTCAGTTGTAATTATTTTTCGGTAATATTGTTCTTATTTATTGTTTATTGAGTGGGTCGGCTAAAATTAAAGACGAAGAGTGAAGCTCCAATGCAGAATTTTTGAAGTCTATTTGATATTATGCTTTCGACAGTGCACGTGAACAGCAACTAGGTTGGGTGTCCACTTAAGATAAACTGGATTAAGTGTCGAAGATGAAAGATTGCTCAATAAAACGAACATTGTTGACAGCTTTAAGATAGGCTCAGGGTCTCTTGATGTAATATAACCCTTGGTTCAAAACAATAGACTTGGCGCCTCGCCCTTCAGAAATATGCGAAGATTGCGACGCTGAACGTCGCAATCCCCCGAAAATCGAGCCTGCGGCTTGTAATGGCAGCATTTATTAGTTTTGGGGTCATTCATGGGCCAACCAGCATATTATAATCACTGTGATAATTTAGCAGCTGTTTATATTATCAATAAAGGGAGTACTGCCCATCCTCTTATTATGCATGCACTTAGACTCCTGTTTTGGCTCTGAGCAATTTACAATTTTAGGTTCACTGCTGTTTATGTCCAGGGTCACCTCAACACCATTGCGGATGCAGTGTCTCGCTTACATGAACCTAGGAAATGTGTAGCCTTCTACCATCATCCCCAACAGGTGCAACCATACCAACTTCCTGACAGCACTCCACTGACCCAGCATATGCCTTTACGCAGTTGCAATTTCCTTTTCTCCAGGACCCAAGGACCCCCAACTGGCTCAGCAACTTCAAGAAGAAATTTATCAGTACCGCTTTCACACCTTTGCTTAGGGCACTAAAGCATCGCATCGCACCCACAGGACTAGTTATCTCCAGGTTTGTGAGCATATGGTTTACCCTCCCCTCCCTGCCCAATCTTCCCATCTTTGTCAGTATGCTGCCAGCTCGTAGTCTCAAAGCCACTTCTATTCCAAATTACCTTAATACTATTGGTATTCTACATAAGGAATTTAACCTGCCTAATCCCCTTCTTGACAATTGGCCATTACAGTCTCTCTTAACTGCGTCAAGGGTAAGCAACCTGCCCATTTTAGGTCAAATTTATTCGCACCTCAACATGCGCTCTAGTTTTGATGCCTCTTTTTGGGCTATATGTTTGGTATCATTTTTTGGTATGCTTCGCAAAAGCAATCTCCTTGTTAAATCGGCCCGTTCCTTTGATGCTTCCCAGCAACTCTTGCGATCGGATTTTACATTTTATTCCTGGGGAGGTTTAGTCACTATACGTTGGAGTAAAACTATCCAATTCCGTGAGCGGGTGGTACGTCTCCCCCTCTCATTTGTAGCACACTCTCCCCTTAGCCCTGTTACAGCAGTCACAAGGGCTATGCACTTTACACGTCAAGCATCGCCTGACTCCCAGGATTTCGCTTTTCTTCGCTCTCTAGACCTCGTCCTCATGCACGTCTCTTATCCCTTGTTTTTAAAAAAGTTACGTGCCATTCTCTCTGCCATTGAGCTCTCGGCCAAAGATTATGCTTGCCACTCTTTCCGCAGGCGAGGGGCCTCCTTTGCCGTCCAGTCCGGGGTTCCAGTCGAACTTATTAAACTGCTAGGGGCCTGGCCTCGGATGCTGTGCTACTTTACCTTATGGTCCCTCTTTTTATTAGATTGCAATAAGTCCATTCTCACTACAAACAATTTTCTCCTCCACAACCTCCACAATTTGGGTTTGGAGTGTAACTAGTTTTATTACCTGTTTCATTTTAATATTGTACCTATATTTGAGTGATTACCTATTTACATGTTGTAATAAAGGCTGTCATAGTCCCAATCCTGTCTGTGTTATGGTTGGTATTTAGTGTAATTTTAAATTTTATTAGGGCCACTGGTATCATTTCTCTGCCCTTTCACCCTGGCGAAGATTTTTCCATCATATTAATGTTTGGGGTCTGGGTCATTTGTGTCTATATACTGGGTGGTGGAGTACAAAAGTTTGATAATCAGGAGTAGTATTATAGGGGATTTTGTCTTTATACCGAAAGTTTTAGGAGACTTTTTTTTTTAAACAATAATCGCAATATCTTGATATTAAAATCTGAAAACACAACGAATTTTAGACGAATGGAATAGTTATCCAGAAATTTTTAGCTTTTCTCAAGCTTTAGAAATTTCTAGGCAATGTTTGCTCCTTCGAACAGTTATTCTATCACATGACCAGAAGGCAGAGATCCCATGAGATAGCACAGCGCTTGCGCAAGTCATTGCACGATTTGCGTTTAACGCGTTAAGTCACGAATTTTTAAGCTCCAGTTTTTCAGCTTAAAACCTTCGAAACACGATCTGCTGGAGAGGCCAACGTAGTTGCCTCAATTGTTTGTCCAGCTTAGGCCCTAACGTAGTTGGGTGCCGATATTGGAATCATGTCCGAAAACAGCACAGAGAGCGCGGACACTGGAACGTCAATGGCCGCTCAAGATACCAGCCAAAATATGCCCTCAGCTAACACTTTCGCGGATATTTTTAAGACTGCATTGGCTCCAGTTCTAAGCCAGCTAAGCAGCCTAAACAACAACGTCACCACTGTGCTCCAGAGCGGGCACGAAGAATCAGATGAGGACGGTGAAACCGCCTCTGTTGACGAGCCCGCCAATTCTGGGGACATGGATGCAGATGTCTCTGCGCTCCTCGCGGCTGCGGGAACAGATCAAAACAACGAGGCTATGCCGGGTGACGAACTTCTAAAAGAACTCGCACAGGACCTGACAGTCAGCGAGAAGACCTCCCCACCCCTTCGCGAAGGGCTGGCGGCCATCTTCAACAATCTCTTATCAGAAAAGATGGGGGAGGAGAAACTAAAGGCAAAGCTAGACAAATACCCCGTCCAGAGAACGTACAGGGTTTGCGCACACCCAAAGTAAACCCTTCGATTTGGAGCCAGCTCTCCACTGCCCTGAAAGCACAGGATGTCCGATCGCAGAAAGGACAAAGCACCCTTATCGGCGCAATAACAGCCATGACAAAGGCCGCCGATTTGGCTCTGGGAAAATACAGCCAAGATAAGGAGCTGATCACCTTGTTGACTGATTCCGTTGCAATGGCACTTCAGTACAACCATGAGGTTAATCACTCCCGACGCCTGGCCATGAAAAAAGAGATGCATAAAGACTATGCAGCCCTTTGTAATGTGTCCACTGTGGATGGCTCATCAGAGTTCCTTTTTGGCGACCTGACAAAGCTAGCAAAAGACATCACCGAGGCCAACAAGTTGACCAAAAAAGGTGCGCCCACAACATTCCGGGAATTCCCGTGGCCATGACAAGTACGGTGGGCGCCCAGCGTATGGCTCGCAGAGAAGATTTCAGCCTTACCCTAGAGGGAAAACCTCGGATTTTTAGGGAAAAGCCGTTTCTCAAAGCCGCCAAGAAAGAAAAAGGACGGCGAAACGAGCCAGCGCCCGTAAAGGTGCCTGAGGTATGTAACGCAGATGCGACATCTTTGTCTATTGACATTGTAAATAGTTTGGTAAATTCACAACCAAGTTTCCAAGCCGGGAAACTTAAACACTTTTTGCCGCAGTGGCAAACTATTACAACCGACCCTTCTATTCTTCAGATTGTTACTGGAGTTAAAATTGAATTTATAAACAGTGTTGCACCCACGCAACATTATGGTAGACCTAGTGTCTTCAACGCTTATCAGCATTCAATTGTCACAGAGGAAATTGATACACTGCTCGCAAAAAGGGTCATTATCCCCGCGGCACAGGAAACAGGAGAATTTGTATCCACAATATTCTTGCGGCCGGAAAAAAGATGGCACGCACCGCACCATTTTAAACCTCAAAGCCCTTAACGAATATATAGCCTACCATCATTTTAAAATGGATACACTAGAGGCTGCAGTAAACATGATGAGACCAGGTTGTTTTATGGCTTCGGTAGACTTAAAGGACGCTTATTATACCGTCCCTATCCATCCATCTCACCAGAAATACTTAAAGTTCTATTTTGATGGTGTTTTCTACACATATACCTGTTTGCCGAATGGCCTAGCTAGTGCCCCGCGCATATTTACAAAATTATTGAAGCCCGTGTATTCCACACTTCGGAGTATGGGACATCTCAATTCAGGGTACATTGATGATTCTTATCTACAAGGAGACACCTCCAAGGAATGTTATAAAAATGTAGTTGACACCGTCACGCTTTTTACTCAATTAGGTTTTCATGTCCATCCTGAGAAATCAGTTTTCATCCCTTCCCAGAAACTGACCTTCTTAGGTTTTGTATTGGATTCTATTGCCATGACAGTTACGCCCACGGAGGATAAAGCGCAACGGATTCGGTCTGTCTGTGCTACGCTTTTACAAACACAAATGCCCACAATCAGACAGGTCGCAGAGGTCATTGGCATTCTGGTGTCCAATTTTCCCGGGGCTCAGTACGGACCCCTACACTACCGCCACCTTGAACGGGATAAATATCTCGCGCTCATAGCTAACAAGGGTGATTTCGCGGGCAAAATGCAAATCTCCCCTCCCGCGCTAGCAGAGATTCAGTGGTGGCACAATAATGCTGACACTCTTAAACGAGATATTCACCAAGATCATCCAAGCGTTTCAATTCAATCAGACGCGTCAACACTGGGGTGGGGAGCTGTTTATGGCACGCAGAAAACGGGGGGGAGATGGACCCCTTTGGAACAGGAATTTCATATAAACATATTGGAATTACTCGCAGCATTTTTTGCGTTAAAGTGTTTTTGCAACCATATGGGCAACTGCCACATCCAAATTCAAATCGACAATACGACAGCATTGGCTTACATAAACAACATGGGGGGTTCAAAATCACAACAACTTAATGAACTAGCTGTTGAAATTTGGGAATGGTGTACTGCACGCAACATTTGGCTCTCGGCTGTGCACATAGCTGGTCGGCTGAACACTGGCGCTGATGAACAATCACGCGTGTTCTCAGATAATCACGAGTGGATGTTAGACAAACACTCGTTTGACAAGATCATGTTGCGCCACCCCGGACTCGATTTCGATTTGTTTGCAAGCCGTCTAAACAATCAGATAAATAGTTACTGCTCGTGGCATGCAGACCCTAGTAGTTCACATATAGATGCGTTCACTATGAATTGGAAAGGGCATCAATTTTATGCTTTTCCACCTTTTAGCCTTCTTCCAAGATGCCTTCAGAAGATCAGTCACGACCGAGCACAGGGAGTTCTGATTGCCCCTCTCTGGCCAACCCAAACGTGGTTCCCAGTCCTCCTACAGCACCTATGCGATCAGCCCTGGATTCTGCTCTCACGCCCAGACCTTCTACAACACCCGTCACGCAGCGGCCCACATCCTCTACACAAAAATCTTCATCTGATGGTCTGTCCTGTGTCAGGGGATCCTTCAGCCGTTACCACCTTCCAGAGGAGGTTACCGACATTCTCATGGCATCTTGGAGAAAAGGCACTCAAAAACAGTATGCCACATACATTAAAAATGGATGGCATTTTGTCGTGAAAGGAAAATTGATTGTTATGCACCACCACTGAGCGACACCCTCCAATTTCTCACTGACCTCTTTAATCAAGGACTTAGCTACTCCACTATTAATACAGCTCGCTCTGCCTTATCTACCATTGTCATGATAGACGGGGAGAAAAGTTTTGGCAGCAATCATGTTGTTACACGTTTTATGAAAGGGGTATTTGAAACCCGCAAACCTAAACCTAAATACGACAAAATTTGGGATGTTTCGGTGGTTCTGAAACATTTATCTTCCCTATACCCCAATGAAAAATTGCCTTTAAAGGATTTGACATACAAGGCCCTTATGCTTATTCTATTAGTTTCCAGTCAACGGGGACAATCGATACACTTGCTAGATCTTCAGCATGTTACCATGGAAGAAGATAATTATTCCTTTGACCTCGCTGAGCATATCAAGACTAGTACTCCCAGGAGCCCACATACGAAGATTGACATTTCCGTTTATGAGCCAGACAGTACAATTTGCCCTTTGGCCTGTCTGAAAGCATATATTAACAAGACAAAGAACTTGCGTAATAGCGAAACTCAATTGTTTATTAGTTATGTAAGGCCCCACAAACCTGTCTCTCGGGACACGGTTTCAAGGTGGACTAAAGAAACTCTTAGAATTTGTGGGATTGATACCAATGTGTTCACTGCACATAGCACAAGGTCAGCATCTGTTTCCAAAGCAAATGAAAAGGACGTCCCTATCCACGAGATCATGGCTAACGCGGGCTGGAAGTCCGCAGAGACCTTTCGTAAATATTACAACAAACCTGTTGTTCAAGGAAACAGACTAACTGCCGCTATTCTTGGCCAGTGAAATATTTTGTTTTTCCATGTGTGCTTTATTGCATAATTTGTTACTGTTAGACCATTTTAATATAACATGTTTATCATTGCTTATGTTTGGTCTATTGTTTGTTGGATTTCATGCCTCTTGTTTGAGCGCATGTCGTACGGGTGCATCCACGCTTTGAAGTCTCATGGGATCTCTGCCTTCTGGTCATGTGATAGAATTGGAAAATTAAACGAGACTTACCTGTAAGTTGAAGTTTGATTGAGATTCTATCACATGACATCAGAAGGCAAGAGATCACATGCCCTCCACATAACACCCACCCGTTTTAGGCAACTTGGTTGCTTTTGGGTTTTCTGTTTGGTGTCTTTAGCCTACATGTTATGTTGTTTTTGATGCACCCAGTACGTGGCTTTTAATTATGACTTGCGCAAGCGCTGTGCTATCTCATGTGATCTCTTGCCTTCTGATGTCATGTGATAGAATCTCAATCAAACTTCAACTTACAGGTAAGTCTCGTTTAATTTTCCAATTTTACAGAATATGGTCGCTGGGTGCCCCTGAATACTCGGCGGCACCCTTTGAATTCCATTTTTTGAATGAAGTGATAGTGACAATAGAATATTTACTTGTTTGCTGTAAATATTTTCTCTTAGTGTTTATTTAGTAAAAAGTGAATCAGTAAACTCGCCTCATACTTCTCAGCATCATGCCTTGATTGATGGCGTTTAGGCCAAACGTTTCCTGCGGTTGCCCCGCCCAGTGGGTGATCCATGTTCTGTGATGGGATTGGTTTAAATTGGTGACCAAAGTCCACAAACAGTACCACTGTATCACCAATGTCAGCAAAGTTAGGAAAATGATTGCCTGAAGCGCACATGCGCACCAAGGGTTTGGTGGGCTGTGGAGTATTGGCTGCCTGAGTAGCACAGCAGCTTCCCATTGTAGTACAGCAGCATCCCATTGTAGTTCTTGATCGTAGATCGTAGTAGTTGCTCATTGTAGAAAGTAGTAACTAAATATAACTCCTCCAAAAAGAAAGGGGGGGAAATCCATGGTGGGGAGTGTGTCTTTCTGAATTATTTATGCATCAGTCAAATCCAGCTGCGACCAGCCCCCCTGGGCTACTGCGGGGCATTTGCCCGCCTTGTCAGTCCCGGGGGTGGGGCATTTGCAAATTTTGTGCTGCCTGGGCCCCGGGCATTTTGCCAACTCCGAGCTTTTAACACGCACACGATTTCCTATCAGAAGATAACTACACAGAGGATTTTACTGGAAAAAGAAGCAGATTGGTTCATTGTCAAGGACGGGAAAAAATTGAAGAGGTTTGTAAAGGCATGTTCTCCATTTTATGCATGCATTTCTTCATTGCTTATCAAGCCAGAATTAGACAGCGAAACTCGGGAGCTATCGACGTGAATATACGTTTTTATGGTTATTGAATCCAGTTTCTCTTGATATTATTTGAAGAACATCACTTCATATTTACAAAACTATTAATAGCAGTTAACTTTGCAGCGCACTATTAATTTTAGTGTCAATAATTTTATAACAATACTAAAACCTTAAACTGGTGTCGTCACGGCGTGAAGTCTTAATTAGAATAGCACTATTACAAAGGGAGAAGTTAATTGAAACAAAATATCATTTGCCCTTTTTTTTCGTCCCCAACTCGGGGGATTTGACAGTTCAAGAGTCCCCACCCCTGGGAATTTGCCATCCAAGGCAAAAAATGTATTGAAGTAAGTTGCACGTAAACCGGAACTGGACTTTTTGCGTTCTTGGACTGTGATTTTACCCAAATTTTCTGACAAACCTTCTCTTTATGAGTAACTTAACCTTGCAATACTAAACAATACAAATTTGGCAGCGTAAAGGCCGGGGGGGAGGTACTAGGGTTAATTTTTGCTGGGTATGTGCCGCTGCAACCTCGTCCCCAGGGCGCTTTTCCCTGGCTTCCCTAAGCCAGGGAAAAGCGCCCTGGGGACGAGGTTGGTGCCGCTGGCCTTTCAGAGCCCCTACCCCATTATCACGGTCTATTTTGTGGCCAATAATAGACCCCATCTTAGTCACTTTTGGGCAAATGTAATTTTCGTGATCCCACCATAGTCACTTTCTATTTATGTATCTACCTTATAATGAATGAAGAACACTTCACTTTTCACCTACAGTACCAACATTCTGGTACGTTTGCTAACCGCGATAACCGTAAATGGGAAGAATTTTTTTACTCCCAAAATCCGAAAATGTGCGGCCCCATTCTAGTAACGCCATTGAAAATGCAACCCCATTATAGTCAATCCAGCCGTGAAAATGCGACCCCATCCAGCGGCACATTAGACTACGAGCAGTCCCTCTTCGGTCAAGTCTAAGCTCGGCAGGACTGGAGAGAGCGAATTGGCCGAGAATTCCCCTCGGCTTTCGCTCGCTTCGCACGATTTCCTTCCTCCCTCGGGCTTTCCTCGCTCGCGAGACCATCCTAAGGGACTGCTGGCAGTCTAGCGGCACATCCCCATCAGTCTTTTATAAGGAAGTACCTCCCCCGGGGTCAAGGCATAGTTAAAGGGAAAAGATCTCACTTCCGTTTGACGTGCGTCGCTCAAAAACGCTCTTTGACACTGGTTCCCCAAAGAAGCACCAGCCTGGGATGGCTCATGCCTTGTTTGAGCCCTTCGCTTTTGTTGACCCCCCACCCCCTGAAAATTTATGCGAGTACAATTAGTCCCCAAGAACAAAATTGGCAATTTTCTTTTGCCATTTTTCACAATCCAATTCATTAAGATACAGGATTGCGTGATATGTATTTTGCAACTCGCGCTCGCCTGACACGCTTCGGATTCCTTTCCAGAGATCAGTACTGTGGGTCGTACTAGAACAGTAATATATGTATATATCCGGTTAATAGATACGCCATTTTATTATTTCATTTTGAAGATTATAAAAAAAGCATCAGCCTTTTTCTGCCGTAACACGCATTCTTTACATTCCTGTCACGCTGTTGCAAGCAGCATAATAGCAACCGTGAGGATGTCGACTTCAACGCAAAGTTTTTTACGGAAGTTTGCACTCAAGCAAAGGAGAATGTCCAGTTTAACTAATTACTCTTCGATTATATGCTCTAAAATTCAGGGACATAGGATCACATAACGTTGCATTTTGTTGCAGCTGGTTTTCATGGGCTGACTTTACCCTAACCTTGCTCCGAAGTTGATCACTATAGGTTACTATGTACAGTATAGTTGATAATTTCGACCATACTCAAGGGACACTTTTTATTTGTCTTCTTTCGCTAACCGAACTGTTTTGATACTGATCATCTTAAATTGTCACCTGGTACTGTAACTGTGTATTAAGATACCTTCAAAATATTCAATAAGTACATTTATTTCCTTACCTTGAGTTAGAATATGCACACTCTTCGATTCGTTGTCAAGTGAAAGTCAATGAATGGTACAATGAAATCGTTGCACGGATTTTAAGGCTGGCTCACTAGGTTCGTGGAAAGACAGGAAACTCCTTGAAAACTAACCTATACGCACCCATTCATATAATGCCGCCAGATAGATATTTGATACTGGAGTCACGAGATTAGTTCATGGGAAAAGACTCTATTATCATTCACAGCATATATTACAGCATCATAACTTCCGGGCTTCTAAAATGCAAAAGGAAGTAAATTGCTCATGGCATTCTGGTCACTTTTTAAATGGCCCTTTCAAAAAATCTTATTGTGAGTGCTTCTTTGCGTGAAGCTGTTATCACTATTATAAAGACACTTTTTATGTCTTAACTCGTTTTCATGCTGTTTTTTAAACTATACTGAGTGATCTGATGTCACGCCGAGTGTAGTCTACACAGGGGATTCCCCAAGATGTTTGGCGTGGATTGTAATGTTATCATCCCAGAATATTAAAATAGAAGGTAAATACCAAATCACGAGTTCTCTTAGCAATGTGCTTACATATAATAAATTGAAAATAGGAAGGTTGTGTACGGAGTGTTGATTTTTTTTTTTTTGAACTGGGTTGAGCCATGCCCAAGTGGATGTCAAAGGATTACTCGCACTCCTTTATTGAAGTGAGAAATTGAAATTACCATCCTTGGTATTCAAAAAACATAATTCAGAATTCTTTATAAAAGCTTTGTATACAATTTTCAACGTACTTTTGCAAAAAAGGTTATCAAATTTAGCCTTTTTTTGATGCAAGGTTTCACTGCACTGCACGGCATGTGAAACTTCGTTGCGTGACCAAGGTGCACGGCAAGGATTTCCCAAGATCGTCCAAGACGTTGCAAATCGTTTGTTTTTAAATCGCTGATCAAGAGTTCCTTTCGGTAATAATAGCATCTGCAGGATGGCTACTACAGCTCTGGAGACACTGAATTTTCCTCGTAGAGGCGCCCACGCTCTTAAAAAAAAGAACTTAGAAACAAACACCCTGCACCGCCCACCTTCTCGGACAAAGTAGGCTCAGATTCCAATATTAGTTGAGTTTTGTTTTCAATACTCAAGACTATATACATATATTTAGGTATTGAAACTGTTTCCTGTCCTCTGTTGCAAAGGAAGGCAAAGATGCACATGGATTGAAACTTGAAAAAGTTGAAATTTGTTTAAAATATCTACTTCACACCTCTAGAGGAGCATAGTTTGTATATGGGTCAAGGCATCAGGTACCAAGTAAAAATGACTTGTACTCATTTATATGTTGACGTTTTTAGTGGAGACTAATGCATTTATACAAGAAAGTCCAACATTGTTTCTTACGTTTACTGAGATTGTTAATGTCAGTAAGTTCTTTTATGGGAACATCTGACCAAAATAAAATTTGTCCTTGCACGAATAATAGAGCGCCGGCCCTCGTTGACTGAAACCTTAAAAACCAGTAAAAACGTCCCGAGAAATACGCCACGTTTGCGTTGCTCGCACCAACATGAAATGTACTAAACCATCCTCGATCCCGACAATGCCCCTTCATACTTTTTGTTTTTTCTTTCAACTGAAATTCAAGCTTACACAAACGTTAATTGGGCAATATCCCTCGAGTTCGAAAACCGCGCATATCAGCAATTTAGGGCTTGCCCTGCATGTGTCAATGGGGATAGATCAGTCTGAATTCCGGAAAATTTTCAGTTTCTGTTTCGGTGCAAACAACTATCGTTTTTTAAAATAAGGTTGATACTTTTTTAATGCAAAACTAATTTAACTTCTAGGGGGCCGTATTGAGAATGAAAGTCGCTTGTGCAGAGACTCTTGTCTTTCCACCTCCAAATACGCCATCTATTAACCCTGGCCTGTGTTCTAACGATTGATGGGGGTAGTTTACGTAGGCAGAGTGTCATGTTAGACAAGCACGCACGTTGATAACAACTGGTTTTTTTATCACAGTAAGACGAGACCGGAAGCCTCCCGACCTGTGTTAAGTGTTGCAGGTTTTTTTTTCGGGGGATAAACCGGACAGAACCGGTCAAGAAATGTAAGACTCTTAAAAATAGTCACAGGTGAACACTACTTAAGAAGAAACAAATAGCAAAGGTGCGGTGATAAACATAAAGAAGTATAAACGCATTTCTATACAGTAAAAACTTTAACCTGACGTTTCGTAAGCTCCAACATACATCTTCAGAAGTAATAAACCGTTGAATAACAACAGAAAATTTAAATGTGGAAAACATAAGAAATTTGCCCCTCAAAATTTTGCATAACCTTTGTTTTTCATTTCTCCTGGGTATTACAGCCGTCCCAATATAAATTAAAATCAATGCTTATGCAAACCTTTGAGGGCAAATAAGGTGCATTATGGGAAATGTGGAAGTGGTGTATGAAAGAAAGAGCATGCAAATTCAAAAAGGTAAAGTTTTTGACTGCTGACATTTTCATTAAGGGAAGGTTGTAAATCCCTAATCAGCAGAGTCTCCTTTATCTTGTAATGGGTGTCCCAAAGTCCATGCATTTCACTACTTAGCATTCGGCAAGGAAAAACACGGACGCCTGTGTCATGCACAGGGTACTCATGGGCTCCTACTAGCGTCCACTGCACTGCAAATAGCACAAGCCTTCCTTCCACAAGCTCTTGTCGGGAGAGGCGATGCAAATGTAGGAAACTAACAAGGCAACGCCGTCTCTTGCGCAAAAATCTACAAAGTCGGAGACAAGAGGCAGGCACAAAAGAAAACTACTTCGTTTATTATGTTGTTCGGATTATTTTAAGTTACAGTAAGGAAATTAAACTTCATTCTTAAGCTTTTTATAACCACTATGGATAAAATATGTATCCTTTACCTTTGTTCGGAAGAGCCCCCTTGAAATACAGACACTACGGATTACCCATTTGTTGAGTGTATTTTAACAGCGTTATACTGTGAAAACATTTTCAATCATTTGAATACATTGTCTCTAATACAGATATAGGTTCAAGTCAACTTTCAACATGTTCAAGTCACTCTTAACCAGCTAACACTGAGTTGGGGTGCAGTGGAAAAGTCGGGAACAAATGTTAGGTTCTTGTATGACCTCGTGCCTAGCCTGCGTAGCGAGCGTTTCCGCGCAAGGTTCGTCTAGAAAGCTGGGACAAGAGCAAAAAAAATGAATGACGGGGGAGGGAGAGGGGAACGAAGGAACCTCGTACCCTATTCCCAGACACCAGTGAGATCTGTATATGGCTCACGGCCAACGTTAAGAGAGTGAGATGAGAAAGAAATTATTTTGATTTAAATTGCTTCTCTACATGGCGGTCACATCCCAGCATTTGTAAGCAACAAACAGCTACTGATCGCGATCCACTTTCCTCTAATACTAAGACGCGATTCTAATGAAAACAACATTTGCTTGACCACACCCAGTAACAAGTAATTCTTTTTAAATTGATTCACATCCTAACTACAACCTTGCCAACTTTGTGCTGAGAGAGCTGAGTCTGTATAGTGTCACAAACATCCTCTAGAGATACGGTATGGTGAATAACCGGCCTGTGGTACAACAAAAGTGAAACAACAGAATGAATAACCTCATTACCTGTGTCGCAAGAAAAGAAAAATAGCAGAATGAACAGTGGTCGGCCCCTGGCTTTATAATCAGACAGTGGCGATCAAATGGTATGACAAAGCCAGTAAAAACAGAAGAGGAGCAAGGATTGGAGAGAGAAAGGTACTTTTCTCCCCAATCTTCCCCAGTTCTCTTCTTCTTTGCCATAAAATAATTATACATTTTCCCCATATGGTCAAACGTCGTACTTCAGATGAGCCAAAGCAGGGCGTAAGGAGAGAGGTACGCCCTGAGCCGAAGCCACTGTTAATGAGCAAAAGCTACTGTCCTCGCTCACAAGCATCATCGCATCCAGGACTACACCTGGCTTTCGATGGCTTGTTGCTGTAGTTTCGCCTTTATTGGCGTGAGTGGTTTTTATTATACGATAGTGTCCATTTTTAAATAGCCAAAGCTTGATACCAACTAACTAATCAACTCGCCCTCACCTTATAATGGAGTTGGATAATTTCTCCATGATGTCCGATAGGATGTCTACAAGTAGTTAAAGAATCTAGAATTCTGTTCACCATGGAGTGTTAGATTCATACACCAAAGCTGGACCAGTTATAATATCTGAAATCATTTAAACCTTTCATGACAAAACAAGTTCCAAGACATGAGAGTATCTGTGTGGCGGCCGGTGAAGGCCCAGGAGGATTTCAAGTGACGGGGATGATCGAATGTGGGCAAAAATCAAAACCCAGAAAATTCCCTAGGGCTTCCAACAAAACCCAAGACA